TGGGTAGGTCATTACATATGGTGTAGTTATTACATACTTATATCGTCCACTGCTGGGTAGGTCATTGCATATCGTGTAGTTGTTACATGTGTATGTAGTCCACTGCTGGGTAGGTCAATGCATATCGTGTAGTTGTTACATGTGTATATCGTCCACTGCTGGGTAGGTCAATGCATATGGTCTAGTTGTTACATGTGTATGTAGTCCACTGTTGGGTAGGTCATTGCATATCGTGTAGTTATTACATACTTATATCGTCCACTGCTGGGTAGGTCATTGCATATCGTGTAGTTGTTACATGTGTATGTAGTTCACTGCTGGGTAGGTCATTGCATATCGTGTAGTTGTTACATGTGTATATCGTCCACTGCTGGGTAGGTCAATGCATATCGTGTAGTTATTACATACTTGCATCGTCCACTGCTGGGTAGGTCAATACATATGGTGTAGTTATTACATACTTATATCGCCACTGCTGGGTAGGTCATTGCATATCGTGTAGTTGTTACACGTGTATGTAGTCCACTGCTGGGTAGGTCATTGCATATCGTGTAGTTGTTACATGTGTATATAGTCCACTGCTGGGTAGGTCATTACATATCGTCTAGTTGTTACATGTGTATGTAGTCCACTGCTGGGTAGGTCATTGCATATCGTGTAGTTATTACATACTTATATCGTCCACTGCTGGGTAGGTCAATGCATATGGTGTAGTTATTACATACTTGCATCGTCCACTGCTGGGTAGGTCATTACATATGGTGTAGTTATTACATACTTATATCGCCACTGCTGGGTAGGTCATTGCATATCGTGTAGTTGTTACACGTGTATGTAGTCCACTGCTGGGTAGGTCATTGCATATCGTGTAGTTGTTACATGTGTATATAGTCCACTGCTGGGTAGGTCATTACATATCGTGTAGTTGTTACATGTGTATGTAGTCCACTGTTGGGTAGGTCATTGCATATCGTGTAGTTATTACATACTTATATCGTCCACTGCTGGGTAGGTCATTGCATATCGTGTAGTTGTTACATGTGTATGTAGTCCACTGTTGGGTAGGTCATTGCATATCGTGTAGTTGTTACTTGTGTATGCAGTCCACTGCTGGGTAGGTAATTGCAGTTTGTGCATTTAGTCTACTGTAGGTCATTGCATATGAGCTGAAGGCGATAAAGGCGGCTAGTATAATATTTAGTAGATAGTGTTTGTTGTATTTTTTATTACTTCTTGCATCTATTTTAGAAAGTTAACATTTTGGTGGCTGATAAGAATCTGACCATGGAGTTATTTTGCAGTTTTTTTCCAGCTTTCTTCACATTGTGATCAATATTTCAGTTTTAGCAGATTTGTGTGGCCCGAGTACAAGGGAAGCATTTTTGCTGCACCATTGAGGCAGATGTTGCATATAAATAACAATTCTTTATTAACTTAAACTAAAACTTTTCACGAAGATGGGATTACAAATTTAGTTCATTGTGTTCTGGATTCGACTACCTGTTTAAAATAAACAACTAAATCAGTTTCCTCCTAAACCTTGCTAACAAAACTGAATATAGTGTGACTAGCCGGGTCAAACACAATGAAGTCTCTCAGGCTCTCCAAACGTCAAGGCTCGCGCGACGTAATGACTCTTTGGACCCGTGAAGATCCGGGTTAGAATTGTTCTTCAGTAACCCATGCTTGTCGTAAGTGGCGACTAACGGGATCGGGTGGTCAGGCTCGCTGACTTGGTTGACACATGTCATCGGTTCCCAATTGCGTAGATCGATGCTCATGCTGTTGATCACTGGATTGTCTGGTTTACACTGGATTATTTACAGACCGCCGCCATATAGCTGGAATATTGCTGAGTGCGGCGTAAAACTCACTCACTCACAGTCCGAAACCGTTTTGGAAAACTATACGTATACGTTATCTTCAAAGACACTGTTGAGCTATATCAGGCACCAACACAAACAGAACGGTTATTTCAAGAATCTATTTTCAAAGGAGGATGTTGTTTAATATATATTGACAATCAGAGTTTAGCTTATGTAAGAAAAGAGCTTAAGGCCAATGTGGAGTCACCTATGTGAGATATTAGACGTGTTACCAGTCCAATCTCTTCTCAATTTGATAAAAGAGTTCTATTGTGATGTTAATCTGGTAAACATGGCATGCAACTGTGTCCTGATGGAATAGAAGTTTTCATTTTACTTTTCGCTGATAATGCTATTCTGATGTACAGCATGCCCAGTACTGTTTTGGTTTTCAAAACAAACTGGATATACTTTCAGCTTATTCATATGACTGGCAGCTAAATTCGAATGTTGAGAAAACAAATATTGTTATATCGCAGAGGTGATCCTATGGAGAGAAATGTTTCTTCAAAAGTAAAAGTATGAATGTATATAAATACCTTTGCATATTGTTTACCCATATTTTCAGTCATCAATTAACCTGGTGGTCTATCATTGCTAAGCTTGGTGTTATTCTACCAAACAAATATATAAAAGTTTATGATTTTCATATGTAACCTATTTTACATTACAGATCTGAGATATGATTTAGAATACTGAACTATGGACAAAGTTCATTTGCTTGTCCAAACGTTTCATAATGTTGATATGGCAACAGCAAGTGATACGGTTTATGATGAGTGCGGGACATTCTCACTGTACATTGTATTGTGTTGTTTGAAACACTGGTGTAAAATAATGAATATGGTTTTCCTGGAAAGCCTACAACATGCTTGTGTATCATGATGAACCTGGTAAGAACACCTGGGCATCTTATATCTGCACACTACTGTTTAGACGTGGCGTTGGTTTTATTTGGTTTTCGAGGACAGTTGGCAATGTAAACATTTTTATCAGACAGTTATGCGTGCAATCGATATGTTTGCCCAGGAATGACATGATTCATATTTATGTGAATGTTACACGACAGTTTTAGGCGTTGTACTGGTAGTGCATTCATTAAGAAATGAATTGGTACTTTAAATAGGATACTATATGGTGCTGGTACTGTGTAACCCCTTTGTATATGCTTCTATGACCTTTCATGCAATAAAAAACTGAATTGAGTTCAATGTGTGTATTCGTATTGCACTGCTGTCTAGGTCATTACATATGGTGTAATTGTTACATGTGTTTATAGGCCACTGATGGGTGGGTCATTACGTATTGTGTAGTTGTTACATGTGTGTATAACCCACTGCTGGGTAGGTAATTTCATATGGTTTAGTTGTTACATGTGTTTATAGTCCAATGCAAGGTAGGCGATTGCATATTGTGTAGCTATTACATGTGTATGTTCACGGACAACTGCTGGGTAGGTCATTGAATATCGTATAGTTATTACATAATATTATACATATTCGTGGTGCACTGCTGGGTAGGTCATACATGCTGTGTAAGTGTTACATGTGTATATCGTCCACTGCTGGGTAGGTCATTACATATGGTGAAGTTATTACATGTGTTTATAGTCCACTGCTGGGTAGGTCTTTACATATGGTGTAGTTGTTACATGCGTATGTAGTCCACTGCTGGGTAGGTCATTACATATGGTATAGTTATTACATGTGTATATAGTCCACTGCTGGGAAGGTCATTACATATGGTGTAGTTGTTACATGCGTATGTAGTCCACTGCTGGGTAGGTCATTACATGTGGTGTAGTTGTTACATGTGTATATAGTCCACTGCTCGGTAGGTCATTACATATGGTGTAGTTGTTACATGTGTATGTAGTCCACTGCTGGGTAGGTCATTACATGTGGTGTAGTTATTACATGTGTATATCGTCCACTGCTGGGTAGGTCATTACATACGGTGTAGTTGTTACATGTGTATGTAGTCCACTGCTGGGTAGGTCATTACATATGGTGTAGTTATTACATGTGTATATCGTCCACTGCTGTGTAGGTCATTACATGCTGTGTAATTGTTACATGTGTATATCGTCCACTGCTGGGTAGGTCATTACGTATGGTGTAGTTGTTACATGCGCATGGAGTCCACTGCTGGGTAGGTCATTACATAGTGTGTACTTGTTACATGTGTTTATAGTCCACTGCTGGGTAGGTCATTACATAGTGTGTACTTGTTACATGTGTTTATAGTCCACTGCTGGGTAGGTCATTACATAGTGTGTACTTGTTGCATATGTTTATAGTCCACTGCTGGGTAGGTCATTACATAGTGTGTACTTGTTGCATGTGTTTATAGTCCACTGCTGGGTAGGTCATTGGTAGGGAGTTGATAGGTAGTTACATGTCTATACACACAGTCTAAGACTCAATCGGCCCTTACATGTACACTGTTTTGTGATATGTCGGTCATTCTTGATGGTCGCTGCTCTTCATTCATGACATTTGTATAGGGCAGGTTCAGGATACTCTCATAATTTAGTCGATTTAGCATTTTAGCATTGTTGTATATATTATATTTTATAAAAGATTATGATCAAAGGGGTTATATTCTGGATTATGTAACTTATCTCACTCTGTAAAACGCTCAACTTTGATAAGATGACTGATTTCCCGAATCATTAACACTTAAAATGATTTTCATTGGTAACCGTCAATACATAAATACAGCGAACAGGTTGGATGGTTGTTATACACACTAAACGTGTTAGACAATCATGCCAAGAGCTGATTAGACATTGGTGTTGAAGGCAGATTTCAATCAAACTGAAATGTAGACAGTTTTGTGGCATCCCCGTTTAACTAAATCGAGCTGTTAAGATCATAGAACATACTGCATTCATTTGCATCGAATCATCCTCAAAATCAAAGCAAGTTCACACCATAGTTATAAACATGACTGGATTTGATATACAAGGCAACAAAACTATGTGCATGTGTTGTAGCATATGTAAGTTCGTTCATCACCTTGTATTGCATACGTTTACAATATACACGGACAGATGTGACATAAACTGAGGGTAGAAAGTTACGTAACACCAATTTCTTCCTGGAACATATCAATTACACAAACGCCATGACATATGCATCTATAATTTATGGATTCAAGAGAAAACAAAAGACATCGTACACAAACATCACACGGAGTTACGTCACATGTTGAATTCATACATCGACATATCTATTCTTGTCAATCATTCTCGGGTACAGTGTATCACATCTTCTGAATCCGTGTATAACGTTGGTAAAACAATCCACTTAAACAGTAACCATGGCAACAGTAACTGGGGATTAAAATAATGATTAATCCCATATAAACATTTCATAGATTTGTAACATAATTCAGACTAGAATCTAATCTATACTTAAGATAAAGAATCAATATTTCTTCCTGACTTAAATCAAAATAAACTGAAAGCGCTGACTACTAAACGGTATCAACAGTATGCATTTTTCCCTTGCTTCAAAATTATCCTGTCAACACTTCTGTTCAGAGATAATAATCGATTAACATTTTATCAAACTTGCAGAGCGTTCAGAAATTCATTCAAAACTATTGCAAAGGAGGGGATGTCTGATACTGGGAATAGATGGATGCGATCAATCTGAAAATGAGAACGTGGTCGCAGTATCACAACCGTTAACAAATATTCAACAGAGCTCTGCGTTTAACACTGACAAGTTCCACTTGTAGATTCAGGTATAACAACAAAAGGAACCAAACTAGTAACGTATTGAATTAACATGCGCAGATGTTAATTCGGCAGATCCAGGTGCAGCCCTCCATATACTATCCTGACTACTGTCGTCTGCTTCTGCTCTAGCAGACGACACTAAACAGAAAGGCGTTTGTGTACGTCATGTGACATACAACAAAACCTACACGCTCCAGCATTGTTTGAACATGTATTCAGTTTCGTCGTCTGCGGGATAATTGTTCATGGATTTGGCAGTGTGCGGTTAGAGAACTCAATCCGAGGACCGCGCGGTTCATCTGACAGTAACCATCCATTCATTATGTCAACGATATCTGAAATATACTCCTCTGTGAGATATATTCAAGCACATATTCCGTATAAGCTGCGATTCTGTTTTTGTTGCACAATCTATCCGTATCAAGGCTATAACACCAGATATAACACAAATCACCGTGTATATCTTTTCCACTTTGCTTTTAGACCCCGAAGAGGCACTGGACACGAGGCAAAGTAAATCTCAACAAACGGAGTACATCATTTATACGCCGCCAATCTGTTGACATTTCCAACCTTTTCAATGATGCATGTTTTTGTAAGCAGATTTGCACGTTAAAAAGCACCAATTAAACTTCAACGGTTTTCCATGTAGAGTTTAGAAGAAGACGAAATCAGCAACACAATATACATGTTGAGACCGACGAAAGGTGGAGTGGTTCTACACACTAGAAATGATCACATCACAGTCGTGCATTTATAAAGGTTCCAGTTAGAACACGTGCATATCGTGCGTCACACAGTACGTCATCAACAGACACACGATATAGATATATAATATATATATTTCAAGGTCAAGGTCATCTTTGAGGGTGAGTATTAGACACATGAATCTTGTGCATAAATTGATCCACGAACCGATACGAAGCATTTCAACGGAAGCCTGGTTGATTCAGATCGTTTTGTTCTTTCGTTCAGGCGTTTTCCTCTTTTCTTGCCCTTTGTTGATCGTGTAACCCCGCCCCTATTGATAGGGTTATTGAATTTTGAGATCCATACCAGGTAAACCTGCTGCAGTGCGTGTCTGGAAACAATCAGGAGGAAGAAGGACGTCGTCATCTCTCCACAAATCTGACGTGGACCAACATCCATTACAAGACGGAACAAGAAGCGTACATCATATATTCACAGACCACTCACAATATCGTCTTCTGGCCTCGGATGTGTATTTTTGGAGGTAACTGGCCAAGTTACATGAATTTGTCCACGCAGACTTCAGAGCTACGCAGACTGGAGTAATGTCACGAAAACGTCACTGCTCCCCAAGAGATGATCATTTTGCCACGTACATTGTGTACAACTGACTATTTCTTTTCATTATATCAACACAAGGGCCTAGAAGTCTTTCAAAGGATCCTCTTTCCAAAAAGGCTACCTTTACTTTTCCTACTGCGTACACGTTCGCTGTACGTGGTTTATTTTCTATTAACGCTAACTCTCCGAAGTACGTTCCATTCGATCTAGTTGCTATCTCTTGTTCCACGCCATCCGTGTTTTTAATCGTGACGCGTATGTGGCCGTCTTCCACGAAGTACATGCCGTCAGCGTCGTTGCCCTGTTCGATAATGGCGTGACCATCCTCGTAAGTCTGGCCGACCAGTGCGTCTGCCAGAGTCATTCTCTCATACTGATCTAAGCACTGAAGGATCGTTACACTCTCTAACAGGGTCTCATACTTTTTTCGCTTCTTGAAGGCACTTTTGAGTACAATCCTTCTAAACGAGCTTCGGTCCATGGCCCAGAGAGACCCTTCTGTTAATACCGCTACAACTGTGGCAGATCGGGGCATGTTATACATAAGGGCTAATTCACCAAAGCTTCCTCTATTATCAAACTGGTGAACTTTCTTATTCTCTCCCTTAACGTCGACGTAGACGTCGTAAACTCCTGAATCAATGACGTAAAAGTTGTCTCCGTCGTCCCCCTGGGCAATAACAGTCTCTCCAGGTGTGACGGTACGTTCAAACATGGCGTCAATGACCTCTTGCATTTGGTCACTGTCAAGGCTACGAAAGAGCAATATCCCAGCAACTGCTTCCGTTAGTCGCTCCCTCTGCTGGTCAGACTTAGGGTGGATAACTCTGTCTTCATCGCTATCGTCCTCTTCGGGGTCGTACCGTTCGGCAGACACCGACTGACGCCGTGCGTAACGATTCCGATTTGACCTCGGCTTGAACGTTGCCATGTTCGGCTCCCCTGCGTCCTCATCATCCTCTACGATGATGTACATGGGGACATCCTTTGGCTTTTTTCTTTCACGGGCTTTTGTGAAATAATCCACTGCAAAATCGTAGAGTTCTCCAGGCCTCTCCCGCAGCACTGCCACTGTAAAGTCTCGCAGCAAGTCCCCTAGCCCTTCTGGAATTTCCAAATTCATCTCGATTGCTTTATATAACCGCCGGCTTACACCACTAAGTAAACTTTCATCAATCCAATATAGGTGATTGTTCGGCAGACTCTATATCCTCATCGCGGAGCCGCACAAAGGCGTGTTTGCGAATCGTTGCTTGAATTACGCCAATCAATGCTAGACCGCGCGATCGCACATCAGTACTTCTATAAATATTTCATATCAATGGACACACAGCTGCTAACATCCACGGACCATTCGCGACGTCATCACCCTTTAGCCAATCACAAACCATCCCTGATCACTTCTGACACACCACACTATCCATCCTTTCTGAATTCCTTCTCCGAGTTGTTTATTCCGTTTCCATGGAAATAAAATCCGTCGACCTGGAGGAAGAGAACACATTGTTAATTCTTCTCATCACATCCTGACATAAAAGTAGGTATACATTATGATTATCTTACTTTAACAATGCAGAAACGTCACTTTGAAAGACTTGTTAACTTCATAAAACAACACAATGCCAATATATATTAAGAACTTGATATATTTATTATACTGCATGACTTAACGCCTTAAGTGTTTCTACCATAGGGTTATAAATCATGCTGTCTATACTGCTATGCAAATAATAATATGTTATACAGCTTGAACAAAATATCAATTTTTATAGTTCATAATATATTAATATTATTCTGCATATCGAAGCTAAATGACCATCAGTCGGTGTAATGTCTCTCGTCATGCGACGAAGAATGACGTTCATCACCTAATGTGCAATAACATTCTACAGATATTGAATGCCAGTGGCATTTTCAGGTTATTATATATCAGGGATAATGAAAATATGTGGCATCTGTATACAGCACCATTATTTATGTCTTAACTAGTTTACAGTCATGCATATCCGGATTTTTTTGCAACATGTACAACCAGTTTTGCAAGTATCGATCGTGGAATTCATTACACAGGCAGGGATGTGTGATAGTCTTTCTAGTTTGTACATATACTGTCATAGCTAATTTTCACGCGCGCTTGACATGAGACACAGCAAGTAGCCGTGTTAATTCGAAGTCTCCATGACAACCGATAACACTGAGACTTCCGGAGTTCGGGACAAGGTGACATTAACCGAAGTGGAATCTGTTGGGACACGAAGTTTAACCATTTTACTTGATATTTCGTGTAAACAGAATTCGAATTAACGAGAGTTAACACTGTATTTGTATGTTTTTGTATCAGTATCTTTCAAAAGGCAAGGATACCACAGTCGTGAGATATTTGTGGTGTTGGTGCAGGCAGAACGAAGTTATTATACAAAGACAAACATTATTAAAGAATAGTGTACTGCATAATACAATAAAATACATTTTGCTCTTGAGAGATACTGTATTTCATAACCTACATGACCTTTGATAACGTGGACATGTAAACTGTAGAGACGCATTCTGGGACACACTACATACCCCTTCCTGACAATTCAGTGACAGTCCGAGTTCGAGTCCTAACCTTTGTAGATATTGGTAGTGTTAACATTCCTAAGTACGGGGCTGTAGTACGACTGGTTTTCAGCAGCGCTTGTGGCCTCTCGAGAAATGAGATACCGTAACAATATTCGAGCCCGATGTTGATAAAAAAAACATTCTGATAGAAACCCTGAAAAATAACGTGAACATGTGTCTCAGAATGTGAGACCCTCCTTGTTGCCAGTGGCCGTGGTATGATATCAAATTTGGTAAAATGCCATAAAACACCATTCTTTCATACCAAATGCTCATTGTTTGCCATTTATCAAGTAATATATAATATATATATATATATATATATATATATATATATATATATATATATATATATATATATATATATATATATCGCTAAAGGGAGAAACCCTACTCACTCACTCACTCTCATGTAAAAGGTGGTCAGGTAGTCTAGTGGTTAAAGTGTTTGCTCGTCACGACGTATATTAGAGTTCGAATCTAAAACTAGGTGTACTGTATGAAGCCCGTTTCTTGTGTCCCACGTCGTGATATTCCTAGAATGTTTCTAAAGCGGCATAAAACCATATCCATTCACTGAAGTAAAGAAGCCGCAATTTGAAAGGCACAGCCGTCGTTTTATACGATAAAAATCATAAAAATCAGTCCGTTTTAAACACCTTACCCATCACAATGAATCATTAATACGCTTGAGACAAAAATAACAAAAAAAAGCAAAATTGCTGTTTTCCGTTCTGAAATGATCGTAATGGCAACATGGCATTCACGTCCAAGTGAAACGAGGCACATCTGACGCTGATATGACGAAGACCGACGGGTTCATGCAACAGTCGTATTGATCCGAGTCTGCGAAGTGTTATGTTGCTTTTTATCTCGCGTGAAACATTTCTCCACACCCCAGCAGTTATGCTCCCGCACGTTCTCGTGTTTTCTCGCGTCATTGTGAATGGTATTGTATGTAGCTCCATGCGACAGGACATTGCAGAGACTGATTATGAAGCGCGTAAAAAACAACACCTTTATCTCTCTTTGAGAGAGTGACAAACAGGTTTCGGATCGGTTAAGCTAAGATATTGATTACTCTTGCAATATAGCAGACTCCATTAGAGATTGTGATGCACTCAAGGGCTCAGGTGAGAGCGTCTTGGTAAGAGATTCACCTTCGTCAAACGCTATCTGTTTGACTGATTGGGTCATCTGATAATGATACCTTATTTGCTTGATGACGTTTTCATTTTTTAAATAAGTTGGAATTTGAACAGGAATTAATCAGTAAGAATGGAAGATAACCTGAGAAAAGATGGTATCAATGGATTGATACAATTGATTCAATAGATTGAATTCTTTCCGATGCTTGATTATCTCAGAGGAATGTTGTTTGATATTATTTTCATTTTCAGTTCAAAGTCGAGATGATACTTCAGAAACATAATGGTAAAGGCAGATCTCGTAATGTTGTTTGTGGCTTTGGGCAAAGCCTAGTTATTGCAGGTTCTACAATAGGGTCAGGTCCTACAATGAAGATGTTTATATGCTACAGAGAGACATTCAGGAACTATTCTAGGATTGAATGGCAATCAGTGGATGCTGGACGTTGGATTGTCGATCAAAAACAACCGGATACAACTTTGAACTCAATGACGAAACTTTCAAGAACAACATGCAAATTATATCAGCAGATTTTCAGATTACTGCTGAGAATAACAAATATTTTTTCTGATATGGATCCGCGCGAGGGAATTATTTGTTTATCATAAAATATCTTTCCTGATATAATGGATGTGGAAGGGAAATCTGAAGTCAATAAGTAATTCACAAGTAATTTTACAACCCGCACATGGATGCATTGCCTTTGTGAATAGCCTCATTTTATGATTTTGGTAAATGGCTTGTGGATATGTTTGTGCACCTGAGCATTCTCACCGGAAAACGTCGAGCTAAATCGCAACCATCTGTAAGCATAAACTGAGGCAGGTGCTGTGTCACGGGACCTGATTTGCATATCTATCTTAATATCAAGGTTATCGGATTGGTTTATCACATGGATAATAATATCCATTATTTTTAAGTTATCCATTCATATATGTTTGCAATTTAGTTTTCGTCCAAGGTGAAAAGTTATCCTGAATAATACCCAGTACACCATTAACACAACAAAACATGAATAATGTGTACTTGCTGACGTTCTGTTTAGACTTTATAGAGACTGTCTGATGTATAGATATATTATTCATTCGTGGCAAACAAGTTTTACAAACTCACTGAATTTGAACGACGTATTGCCATGTTATGAACTGCCGTGAGTTTGTCAATATATGTAGCATAAGTAGCTACTTTGATTACAGATAGACACAATAAAAGCATACGGTCATGCAGCTTGGCTGAGCATTGCTGCAGTGGGACACTGCTGGTGTATACAGGCATTTAATGTTGTGGAAAGGATGACTGCTGCCGTGTGTATTAACGCCCACTTAATGAGTATAGGCGTCTTTATCTTCATTACACGAATTGTTGAAATTGGTAATTAAAACAGAATTATTTTTACACCCACCCTTCCTACTGAAAACATTTTCTGACATTGGACCCCTAAGACATGAACACCCATAAAATATACATCTAGCACTTATCATACCAGGAGACCGTGAAAAGGTGATCGCACCCACCCAGTGGTGTATCCGTCATAAACACATGCAAAGGCAAATCAACACCTACACTACATACACACACACACACACACACACGCACAACACACTGCACAACACACACACAACACACACACACACTGCACAACAAGTCAAAATTCTAACGCATTCCCATGAAGTAATGAATAATCCGATTGAACACGCCCCGTGATAAGCTCTTAATTGCCAACTCCTCTGATAAATATATGGCTGTAAACAGCATTCAAGGTAGTCCATATCCATGCCATCGTGTAACCTTTGTAATAAGTTGCAAGTAGTATGTCAGAGACAGGTATTACCCTACCAACCACATATTTCACTCCACAGACAGGCCACCTGGTTAATGTGTTGGATAATCGCTTTCACGAACCCCTTCATGTTATGGAAATCAGACTCCATTATGTAGCAATGCCTAACTTAGTGGTAGCCGCTCGTCACTCATTGATCAAGGTCTCAGCGTAAAGTGTGTGGAACTAATTTTCGAGGTTACAGTTGTAATAGTGCCACGGTGTTGCTTTTAGAACGATTAGCCCATTACCATGCAATTCCCTATAATAAACCTGCCTACTTAAGTCTATCAACTCCGACCAGAGCCACAGAGCTAGCTCTGCACATTGTTAGCAATGCATTGTTCTCATGAGGCCTTTCTGTACCTCAACCATTTCAGCTTTTCAAAGGAGCGATGTTTCGTTGAATGAAGACACCTGACACCAAACATCACAAGAGGTCTATTCCACATCTTCATCAAATGCCATCATTAATTCCAAGCGATCTGGATTCTACTTCAAAGTGGGAGAAAAATCGATGAAATTTCAACAAAGATTGCTGACGCTTTCCATATGCATTGTGGAAACCTGAGAACCCCCAAAGATTATGTATCAAACATTCTTCAGCTGTTAAATAGTCTATGAGAATCGTACGCCACTTAATGATCGATCGTAGGCCCACAACGGCGATGTTTTAAGGACCCTGGTTAGAACCGTTTCGGCGATGGGTGATCTGTGATCTAGTTGTTCATACAAATCAACAAGCATTCTGAAGCTGACGTTTTTCAAGTGTTTCATTTCTTCTCTCCAATGCTGTTTGCATTAATTATTGTAGTCCAGCGGGACTCGTTAAAACAGGGCAACTAAGTCCAACTTCACATAATATGAAACACACACACACACACACACACACACATATACATATATATATATACTA